GATGATGATGATGATGATGATGATGATGATGATGATGATGATGATGATGATGATGATGATGATGATGATGATGATGATGGATGCGCATCTAAAGGTGCAGGCACCTGGGAATTATGGTGGTAGACCAGCACTAAATCCTTCCTCCATCCTTTTTTTTCATTTCTTTTTCAAAATATAGCTTATAAACAAGTCATTTTTGAGAGACAGTGGATCATCTGTGTTAGACATTGGTGTTGTGCTGTCGATGGTGATAATGTTGGTGATGACAAGTGGAAGGTCAGTAATGCGTGCCCAGATAGTGCACAGGTGAACTGGTACCTGCGGCTGACATTGGTACCTATAGGTTGACGAGTTCGTCATCACCTTAGTGTATACCCGAAAACTCAAGCAGTACAACCTCTTGGACAATAACCGTAGCTACGTGATAGCCAAAATGGTCATCTTCCGCGGGATCTCTGAAGGTGCATCCACTGGTAGCTTGATGGTTGGTCAGCAGAATAAGCTGTGATTAAAGCTTGCCATCTTCCATCATAACGTACGCTACACCCTATGTGTAGCTCTTGAAGTGTAGCACTTGAATGATTTAACCAAGCAGAAGACTAATGTATCCTGCCTCCTGGAGGGCAAACAAGAGTTCATCAATGCAGTCGGTTTGATTGAATTCTGTCTAACTGTATCCTGTCCCAGGAGAAGTGATCTTGAGCTGTGAAAAACTACGAACGTGTTGTAGTGTAGTAATAACGTTTCGTCCGCCGATAATCTGGGGGGAATGGGAGTGGATTGTTACCGAATGGAGGCGGTAGCCGACGTGCGAGGTGATGATTCTCTGAATGACCACCATTGATTTATTCCTTCAGAAGCTAAAAGGGACAAATTATTCGGTTAAAAACTTTAAACTTGAAGATTGTGAGCAATTACTGGCTCGTACTACCCTGGCTATATTATGAACCCCACGTAGCTGTATCTACGGATCTAATGAAGGCCTATTCAGGTTTTCCTATGATGTCTAACCAGGAACGATATCCATAGGATATACTCTAGAAGCACCGTGAATAACACTCAGACTTTGTACATCCGTTTACTTCACACAGACAAGAAGAGAGCTGCCAAGTAGCAATAACATCCCTATTTGTATAGCGATGCATTTTAAGACAAGAGCATCAACCACTACTCATCACAACACAGCAAATTCTGAAGAAATTTATGCTTAATTTTAGAACAGGTTACTGCTGAGAGTGAAACTGAGTGCCGACCATCAAAATAACTATGTAGGGTTATGGCATAGGCTGGTGATCATTTTAACAGTACGCTTAAAACTACTTAGTGCGTTAGAATATCAGGCAAGATTTCAAGCACTTCAAAAAATTCATTGCTATTTTTGGCCCTTAAGTTGATGAATAAAGTCACGACGACTTATCCTCCAAGTGGCCATGCTTCCGTTGCGTTCTAATAGAATTTCATCCTTTAGGTGAAATGCATCAGTAGTGAAAAGATGAGAACAACTGTTTACTTGTTTCACGCACAGGGTACATCTTTGGAAACTCCGGAACCTACTATCTCCGGCTCATCATTATCATCAGCTGTAAGAATCGCGTATTTGTCGTAGAGTACGTCTAACCGTCTGGCCACAATTGGGTGACTGGCGGTTCGACTGGCTCGCTGTTAAGCAGAATAGTGTCATTCATCCTTCGATCACGGGATCCACGTCACATAAGCAAACATCTGGGCCGGCTCCAGCGGCGACGAATTTTGAGGTAAAATTTCCTCTCATCAAGTGTGCTTTAGCCTTCTGGCTAGCTGAACATATATTCTTGGCACTGTGAGGAGATGAGTCCAAGTTCATCACACTGCCGTTCAGCTTCTTTTACCCTAACGTTTAGTTATCAACGTCATCATCATCACCATCATAAGCATCATCATCATCAGCATCAGCATCGTCATCATCATCATCAATCATCATCATCATCATCATCATCATCATCATCATCATCATCATCATCATCATCATCATCATCGACATCAGGACATCAGTGCTCAACACCGATGCTCCACTGCCGTACAACCACGATTTGTTTGAAATCCTCATTGTAAAGAAAAGAGTAAAGGTGGACGGGAAGGGACTCAGTGCTAGCTTACCACAATCATTCCGAGGTGCCTACACCTCCATACATTCACTCAGGCAATCTGGATAGAAACTAACAACAAGAACGCCTCTGACGTCGACTGACAGCCATATCTTGTAGTGTCTGCAACCAGGTACAGTGAGTATCGCGCGGTCCTCATCCTGGAAGGTAAGTAGCACCGACAGCACCCAAGTGTTTCGTAATATCCTTCATACCCCACTGCCAAGTCAAGGGTTGGCCACCTCTATGTTCACGCCACTCTGAATTGGGCATGGAACATAGCACTCTCTTCAGCAAACGATGATTCGGCATACGCAACACATGTTCCAATCAACAGAGCTTCTGGTGCTGGACACCTTTTTCGATGGAAGTACTGGTTGCACAAACAAAAACGCGCTTTCTAACTGCTTAACTACGGATTCGCCGACACCAACCCACACGAGCTATTATTCTGAGACAACGGTTAGTTATTCAAACTACTAGTGGTGAAATACGAACTGCTAATATTCCGCAATAAAGACGAAACAGTCGTGCAGGAATTTCAGCGTAAAATGGCTTCACTCACAAGAGAAATTCTCTATTAAAACTCCGAAATCGCCTAACATTACCAACAATGCACTCTTCCATTTTTTCCAGAAATAATCACACTTCGGTCATTCTGCTTTGGCGCCTTCTATGTATATTTATACAGATGTCAGTAGTTTTTCCTAAAATTCCTCTTAGAATTAGTGAAAAACTTGCTTTAGTGACATATATCTTCCACCCGAAGCGGAGAAATCGCAGTTTTCATAGTGCAGATCATTCCCGGAAACTCTTTCTGTTTTTTCAACACTTAGTACTTGTCTAACATTAGTCGACTAAATTCCCAGAGATTCACGCTCCGCAAAAATTGCCATTTTGGGACCCCTAGGTTGTTCATTGTGGCCGAAGTTTTTTGTTAAACCAAGATCGGGAAAACTCAGAGAAGGGGCTTTGAACAACACCATGTCTGCTAGTCGAATTCGTGAATCCGAATCGCACTTTCTAAATGAGCCTTCATTCAGAAACGGAGCTGTCTGGATGCCCAATGACCTCTTTAAAAACTAAAAAGAATAAGATCAGAGAGAGAAAGGGCAGTACAGCTCTTAGACAACCAGCTGACCAAAGCAGTCCGTTTCTTTTACTTCAAACTACTTGGGGATAATCAATAGCTAAAACTAAAAGCATATGCGACGGATGATCTGCTGACCCAAATACCTTCGTGAACAA